TTGGGGCCCAGGAGATGCAGTTGCGCCTCTTTCTTCAAGGCCTGCGGCCAGATTCAGATAGTGGACTGGTTTCCCATTGGCATTTTCGGCCTCTATATCCAGCATGCATTGTCGGCCTCACGTTTATGTGCCCAGGGCCTAACCAATTCTGGGGCCCTGGGATTTCTGCATTTGCAGAGATCCGATACTCGGTGCACTCCAACCAACTGGCGTGCGGTAACTGATGGACCCCACTTCGTGATATGTTTGAACAAAGGGCTCTTGTTGATTTGCTGGCCCGCCTTCACTTAGGGCGGGCACGAGGCTTGCTGGCGGCCTTAGCCCAGAACATGTACATCATGGCAAGGCCCCTTTTTGAGGGCTCGAACCTCAGAGAAGGGAGGGGGGGGGGGAATTAGCAAGGTAAAAAAAAACAGAGTGCAAATGTATCTGATGCAGTCAGTGGACCAGGTACATTGGCACAATTTTGCCGCGGAACGACACACACAACACACACACACACACACACACACACACACACACACAGAGAGAGAGAGAGAGAGAAGACAGTGGCGGCTTACGAATTCGGCTACCTGTTTGCCTGTTCTATTCCTGGACCGCCCACCACCTTCCTCAGCGTCCTGCCATTTCGAACCTGGGACCCGGGACCACGGCCCAGGGGCAGACCCTGTGCCACGGGCACGAGGAAAACCAAATTGCAGTTTGAAACTCCTCCATGCAGACTTCTCTGCAAAGCTGAGGTCCAAGTGCATTTCCAACTTCTGGCCTGACTGGACTGCAGAAACGGTGTTTCAACTTTCAAATGCATTTTCAAACTTTTTTTGTGACCCCCACGAAGTTACCCCAAGAAAGAAAAAGAAAAAAAAGAAGGAAAGAAAGGAGAAGAAAGATAAGCAATGGCCGATCGCTCTTTACACGCGAACCAACAAATTTCCCGTTAATGCAACAAGCGTGTACATCATGCTCGAAGTAATCTCGCACGCGTTCCCCTACGTTTCAACCGTGTGCGCTCCGGTCTCATCAGGAGGCTTGCCACTCACCCGGCGCCTTACGGCCCACCAGCGCCTATCCACCCTACGAGCGTATGAGGACCCATCTGGCCTTTGCCCTCATTTATGTCTTGACCTTCCCTTGCATGTACCCCCGCCCTTCCATCCTCTGCGCTCTGATTGGCTAATCAATCCTATGTCAGATCCAGGTGCGGACCTCGGTGGCCGCTAAATCTTTCTTATGCGGGCTGTTGTGTACGCGCCAGACTGCCACAGACCTCCCAGGTAGTTCACGTGTGTTTCCAGATCCGATAGTACCGAGAAGTTCAAGTTCAAATTTAAATCCTACCACTGCTACCTTTCCCTTTTCCCTCCTGAAATCGGTTACCTCACCTACCTTTCTCCTCCGCGCCTCTATTTCGAATTTCCACGTCCTCATATTTTCCGCTGTTTCCACTGCCCTATTTCGAATTTCCACGTCCTCGTATTTCCCACTATTCCCCACTGCTTGCCGTGCTGGACTTCTCTTCCGGATTGGTTCTCGCACAGTGTGCGCCGTGGTGCTACACGGTTGTGCGTTTGAATGAGTCAGTTTACCTGTCTCCTTCTCACTTCTTTTCACTTCTCTTCAGGCCAGCGCGTGCCTAACTGACTAGTGTACACCTATGTTTCATATTCCTTCGCCGCCAATAATTCCAAATAATATACATACTAACCTCCCTACTGCTGCTCCTCTCTTTCCCGCCTGAAATCCGTTTCCTCTCTTACCTTTCTCCATCCGTTTTTCGAATCGCGCATGACCTCTCCTTGCCTTCGCAATTTCCCGCTCTCCTTTATTTAAGCCGCGCTGGATCCTTCCGCGGGCCAGTGCGTGCGTAAGTGACTAATATTGTACACCTGCCCACTCGCGGGCCCCCCACTGAGCCGACCCTCCCACTTTTTTACATCCCCCTTTTTTTCCCGTTGCATAATTCAGGTACGTTCCTCCTCGAATATATATACCCCCCATCTTTAATTCCTACACCCGCCAGTAATTCAGAAAAAATATGCATCTCATTAAATAAACAAATCCCTACACCTCAGGTACGTTCCTCCTCGAATATATATATATATATATATATCCCCATCTTTAATTCCTACACCCGCCAGTAATTCCAAAAAAAATGCATCTCTTTAAATAAACAAATCCCTACACCTACTCGTTATTCCCATGGCCAATTCATGAGGCCCGTCAAAATTCGGCGGAGGGTCGTCCAAGCCCACGGGTCCCTACCGCTGTCCAGGCAGGCCGACAGTCTAAATTCCTAATAGCTCGCTACTCTGGCATTGCCCATCCCACGTGCGCTACGCAGGACCATGCTATCGAGGAGCGCCTTCCATGGCTCTTTGCTAGCGATGGTACCCCTGTCAAATTTCGCCAGGGAAGATGCAAGAGAGAGAGAGAGAGAGAGAGAGAGAGAGAGAGAGAGAGAGAGAGAGAGAGAGAGAGAGCAATGGGATGTGCCCTAGAGGCCTCCCTCAACTACTCACCACTCGCAGAAAAGACAAAAGATATGGCTGTGTATCTGTCTGTCCATGTTCTAGGGGAACATTCATTCTTGTGACTGGTCCTACTAGGGGTGGGAGTTCAGTCTTTTTTCTTTTTTTTTTTTCAGTCTTCCTTTTAGTATTGTTCAAGATGTAGGGAAAAATACCGTCATGGATTGTTTCACAGGTCAGGTCCCATTTTGCAAGCTACGTAACCGTTTAAACGCGCTGAACGCGTGTCCGCGTTCAAACGCCCCGGGGCCGCGTTCAATAGCGTTCAAATGCGCTACGCGCAACACTTTTTTTTAACGCGACCCCGGTTCAGTCACGCGCGCGCCAGGGGCCACGGGGTGGTGGGGTGCGTTTTTGGAGATGACAAAAAAAAAAAAGGCCACCAGCTGCCACACCCCAGCGCCCCAGCGTCTCATAGCGCCCCAGCGCCCCAGCGCCTCAGCGCCCCACACCCCGGCGGCCTGGCGCCCCAGCGCCCCAGCGCCCCAGCACCCCAGCCCAGTGCCCCACACCCCGGCACCCCAGCGCCCCAGCGCCCACACCCCGGTCTTCTCTCTCTCTCTCTCTCTCTCTCTCTCTCTCTCTCTCTCTCTCTCTCTCTCTCTCTCTGTCTCTCTCTTTGTGGTTGGTCCTCTCTCTCTCTCTCTCTCTCTCTCTCTCTCGCTCTCGCTCTCTCTCTCTCTCTCTCACACACAGAAGAACTCTCGCTCGAAGACGCAATCTCTCACACTCGAAACAAAAAAATATAATAATGATAATGCCCAATAATCGAAACAAAAAAATATAATAATGATAATGTTAATAAAAAAAAGCAAGAAAAACGAAGAAGAAGGAGAAGAAGAGAATTGAGAAGAAGAAGAATTAAGACGAAGAAGACTTAAGAA